GACCTGATTGGAAAGACAGACTTGAAAAACTGCTTTCCAACAAAATGAGAACTAGATTTTTAGAAAAATTCTGGTACTATTTTAGCATAAAATGAAAGTGGCAGACCTTCAAAAAATTTTAAATAACCAGCCACTACGTGCCTAATGGGAAGTTATTTCAAAATCTTTCCTAGAGTTTTTTTATGTAAATCTTTCTCCACTGATGTCAATAGGAGTTTTACCATGGATTTCAAAGGTCCTACTACTGCAATGATGCTAACAAACAACAACAGAGACATGTACATGTAGGTAGTTTGATCTGAACCACAAACATGTACTATATAAAAAAAGACTATAACTACACGGAGCATTAACTACCTCTCCCTTTTGTTCTATCTCCATAAAAGGCTGATGTACAAAAATATCAAATTTTCCTAAACTTGTTGATAACTTTAACCTAGGATTCCATATATACACTTGGCTTCCATTTTTCTCAAATAATTGGAGTACTGCATCCAGTTCTGGACACCACACTTTAACAAGGACATGGAAAGCTTGAGATAATCCAAAGAGCTACCCGTATGATCAGTCTTACACAGCAAGCCATTCGGGGGAAAGGCTGAGGGATCTGAGACTCTACACCCTGAAGAAAAGAAGCCTGAGAGGGGACCTGGTAACAGCTTACCACTACACTAGGGGAATACATCAAGGGCTTGGTGAGCAACTGTTCACCAGGGCACCTGAGGGGAAAATTAGGAGTAATGGCCACAAACTCCTGGAAGACCAATTCAGGCTCAGCATTAGTAAAAATTTCTTTACAGTCAGGGTGTCCAGACTGTGAAATAAGCTCCCTCCAGAGGTGGTGCAATCACCTACCCTGGAAATCTTCAAGAGGAGACTAGACAGTCACCTTGCTGGGCTCACCTGACCCCCAGTTATCTTTCATGTTTGGTGCACGGGGCTGGACCCAATGATCTTCCAGGTCCCTTCCAGCCTTACAATCTATGAATCTATGAATAGCGTTCTTTCCTATGATCTTAAAAGGGTCTAGAATTTAGAAAAAAGGAGTTATCATTGGCAAGATTTTCATTTTCAACTTAATATTTCTATTATTTGACCTCACAATTACAAGTTATTATTCTAACACTTAATCCTACAATGGATCATTATTATACCATAACAAAACTGGAAGGATCTACAAAGTCTAAACTGACTGAACAAATGCATATTAATCCTGTATACTATAAATTTTAGTTTTAAAAATTCTGATTTTGATTAAAATATTGAATAAGCCATTTATTTTATTTTCTTCCTCCTCAAGCAAACATTCTGCCCTAATCCTTACAAAACTTACTGAAGGTGAACCAAAAGGCTTTCAGAAGATTACTGTTAAAATATTAAAGAAAACTAACTTCTCTGAGGATAAATTGCTTTTATGGTAAATAAGACATTAAAGTAATTTGAATTATATAGACAACATATACATTTGTATTGCAGTTACAGCTTCTATTTCATTCATGACTCAGGTCAAGATTTACATGTAAGCTACTGTGCTGGAGTGAAACACAACTGATATTTTATTCATATTATCCTTAGATGTTAAAAACTGTTGTAGCAGAAGGGGGAGCCCAGTGGTAAATTCCCTAAAATGTGATCTTCCTCCTGGTCTCCCTGATGCTTCCGGCAAGAAGAAAAGTCTTACAGGTGAATACATACCTGTATATATACCTAAAGGAACATTTGCCGCTCATTGCACTCCCATAGCTAGTTTGGTTTCTGACTTGTGGTGGATGAGATAAAAATTTAGGCAGAGAAATTATATTACATATACAGAATGTGAATCACTTGTGTATAGCAACAGTTTAAAATATGTGGCCCATAGGCTCGACCAGTCTGCAGAATCATCCCGTTCCAACCGCTGATAATCCTGTGGGTTACTGGCAGTTGTGGGGTGTCGCCTGGTGCAGAATTAGAGGTCTCTGGACCTCAATGGACATGGCTACCAGCAGCAGACTGTTAGAACCATGCTGCTACCCAAATGTAGCTCTGCACTGCTGCCTGAATGCAACCCCACCCTAGTTGCTGTTGGCCCCAAAGACACTTCCCAGGAGGAGCCCCTATAATCCAGGTCCAGCCCACAGCCCAGGGGGAGTTTGACATCTCCAGTATAAAGATTCTGATATGCTTCTAGGAGCTAACTAATACTTTAATCCAGAATGGTACCACTGGTTAAGAGTGAGTAAGGGCATCAAAACTGGGCTCTTATTATGTTGACCTTTCACCATATGGCTTTATATGCTTCATTTGGATGAAATATGGTTGTAAAACACAAATAGCCATTAATAACTATTGTTTAGCTATACCTGACTAACCTATATTATTTCAATTTGCTGGAGTTTCTGTTCAAGTAGAAATACATTAGGGGAAAGCTCATCAAGTATCACATACTTATAGATTTTAGGCAGCTCTAGGAAACATGGAGAAGTTGCTAAAGATACATTTGTTTAAACAATACTGTGTTGTTATTGTTCATGTCTGCTGCTGAGTTATGGAGTATTTATCTGTTGTTATTGGCACCCCTAAAATCCATTCCCTTTAATGCTTCAGCCTTGAGATGAATTGAAGCTGACCTATTTATATAACCGAAGAGACAAAGATACACTGTGGATGGGTTAATAACTATGTTTTTGTTACCCATAAAAACCATTCCTTCAGTAACAGTGTTTCTATTGGTTTCTCATCCTGTGGAGAGGCACCAAAATACAGAAACGGAAAACTCTTGCCACTGGCAAGGTTTATACTGTTAATTTGTAAAGGTGGATTTAGGGAGAAGCATTAAATTAACACTCATTTACTTGTATAATTATGTGTTGTCTACATAAAATGACAGCCTTTACCTTTCCAATACTAGCATTGAGTTGATGGAAAACAGGATAGGGGAGGGTGTGTAAGCATGCCACCACTGATGAATGTCAAGCTCAAGTTACACGTTTGCCTGTTGCTTTAATGTCTATACAACATACTATCTAATGCATTACCTCTCCAACTTTTAAATCTGTTATTTTAATGCATTCTTTGCAATCTATCTTAAAAGCACACTTGATTATTGAACTAAAAGGCAAAAAGGTAACCTGTATCTTAACTTATTTGCCACCTGATATGTTAAACAGACTTCATACCTTAAAACTACTTTAATAAAGCATGCAATTATCAAAGCATTGGAGAATGGCCCCAGAGCACACAAGCTCCATTAAATTTGCTTACATCTAATTATACCTGCCTGAGGCAGGTGAGAAATTGAGTCTGATAAGATCTTTCTTTTTACCTGTAGCCAAAAAGAAAAAAAAAAAAAGAAAGAAAAGAAAGAGCAGTAATTTTCTGTCTAATTACTATGTACAACTATTTATGGTATTCGGTCTTTAAATGAACACTTTACAAAGCACTCTTTGTACCCAGCCCCGTCCATTTTAACTTTAAATTTCAGAGGAACAATAGGCAAGTTTATCTCGCTCCAGGGATGATACAGGTCATCAACAATGTTAACCCCTCAAGTCATTTTCTACACTAGTCAAATATTTCTAATTTCACTATATTTTTAGTAGATTTGATTTTTTTAAAAATAAAATTTAGTTAGGTACTAAAATCCTTGTGACCACTGTATATATTTCAAGAGACCTGCCAATTAGCAAAACAAATAAAATCACTGGGATCTGAAAAAGCATGTAAAATATTTTTCCAAACACACATTCTTTTGGCTTACATTGAAATAAGAGCTGTTAAAAACGTAAGCAACATCCCTTTTTCTGGATACTACATATAACCTCATAAAGAATATTTGCAGCTTGTTTTTGTTTCTTATTTAAAGACAGGTATTGTGCAACAGGAAGAGGAATGAAAAGGCTCTTAAATATGAGAACATCTCATATAAGCTGTGAGTGAATGACATAGGTCTATATTTCTAGTTATTTTAATAACATTAACCACACTGAAAGATCCAGCGAGAACAATAAAATGAGATCATCTTAGCAAAGGCTATAAAATAAATGGTTGTGACAAGGCATCCCAGCTGAAAATGAAAGGACTCAGCTGAAGATGAAAGGACTCAGAAAAAAGAAGTAGCCCAGTTTTATTCTAGGCCACATTATGACTACATGACAAGACCCAAGTTAGTATTGCTTAACCCTCAGCCAATACTAAGAAATGAACTCTGCTTTAGAAGGTTATTTAAAGAAGGAAAAAAACTAGATACCTAATGTGAAAATTTCATATGTAAGCTGACAATAAGAACTGACACACCAAGGTTATACAACACACTTTATCAGGCATATATTTTTATTCACCCATGTACAACTATTTTCTATTATATTGGTCATTCATTGATCTAATGGGCCACAAAACTCTAGTGACCCTAAAAAGAAAAGGTCCCCTGCACATATTTTATACTTACATCTTCATTTGATACTTTCATATGAAAAACTGCTTAGAAGTCCATAGTTTTGAAGTGGTTAATAAGTTTCTTGTTTGTTTTTTCATGTTTAAAGAGCACATATCCTCAATAAGCCTCTCTCTAATACTACATTTGGGAGCATCTTTTGCGTTTACAAACATTCAGGTGATCTTTCAAAATGGATTTCTTTGATATAAAAATTATTAATTACTTATTTGTGGGACCTTATACATTTGAAGCCAGATCTAGTCATTAATTTGTATCTTCTATGAATGACAGGACTATGAGAAAAAAACAAAACATTGAAGGAATTTAATAACTAAATTAGAAAAATAACTTCCCACCTTTACATAGTCTACCATATTTTTCACTGGTTCCATTAATGGTTCAGACAAATTTTCAGATTCTGGCAATGCTCATTTTTTAAATCTTTCTTCCTACAAGTGTTTTTCATCTTATATTAAAAAACAGAATTTTTATTTTGCTTTTTGTTGCTGAGCTCTTATACTCACCTCTTATGACCAAGTTTAAAAAAGCATGAGCAGATAGCGCTGTTCATGGTCTGGATACGTACCAAAAGCTGCCACTTTTATGATCACGGCTTGAATATCCGAAGATATCATTTCTCTGAGCAAAGCTTCCTGGTTTCGACGCCAAAGATAAGCTAAAGGCTGCAGATTAAGTCTCTTACAACTTTTAAAAAGAAAAATAAAAGGAAAAAATTAGATGGGTAAATTCCAAATGGTATGCTCATTTATACAGAGGAAGTTATTGAACATCAAACATAACCAATTCTTATAGCTTTCTACCATTATACATACATATATACATACATACATATACAACTATATATAGCATACAAATACATATGTGTGTATATACATATATGTGTGTGTGTGTATATAATGTGCATATAATATATAAAATCGTTAGTATTTTAGGATCACAGATATAATAAAATATGTTTTAGCTTTTATAATTATAAATATATATAATACATATACACTGTAAGAAAAAGGAAAAGAAAAAGAAAGGAGCCATCATTTACTGAACTTAAATAAATTACTATGTTAAACTAATGCATAACAAGTGTAAGCAGGAAGAAAATGAAACCTCAAATCTTATGGGCATAACCTGACAGAAGATGGCATATTTCTGTATACAAAATTAAGGAAAAAGTTGGTCATTTCACTGAAAAGACCTCCACAACAAACCCTGAACTTGCTAGAAACATCAAAATCTGTCACTAGAATCAATAGGAGTACCGCTCATGAAATAAACATAGAATCTGTGCCAGACAATAATCCAATAACATATCATAAAGGATACTTTGTCTATAAAGGCTCAAATTCTGAAAAAAAACTTAGAAAAATACTTAAATAATTGACTCAAGTCAGACAAAAGCTACATTTTGTAAGCTATCACTGTTGTAATAACATATTACCACGCCAAGATTTTTTTATGTTTTATACATATGGCTAGATTTTTTTCTAACAGATGCTAAGCACCCAGGAATAATGTAAAAGGCAACTTCCAAATGTTTGGCAACTTTGAACATCATGTACTTTAGTTAGTTCCCTATCTATGCATTTATTGGACTAACTTTAGATATCCGTAGTTGGATATTCAAAAGAACTCTGCTCCCACTGAAGGCAATAGTTGACTTCAATTTGAACAGAATTAAGCAAACAAAGACAGCTTCTGAAAAAAATATCCAACCTCCCATTCTTTAAATATTAAGTTAAATGTTCTACAGCATATTTTGCAAAACCCCCAATATATTAGCAACACAGCAACTCACTGAACTGCAGGGTGTTTATTATTTTCTGGAAGTTTGGACCATTTAAGGGAAGTGTGCAGCTAACAACATGCTATTGTACTTTCTCTGAAATGTCCAAAAACTTGTAAATGAACCATCTGGGAAAGGCAATAAAATTGAAACATACTACTACTAATCTGCATACTGATTAAATAGAGGGTAGGCATTTGTGATGGGTTGGCTAATTGATGTTTTGGAAAAGGTTGAATATTGTTTAACTGGTTTTTACTTCTTGGCAGCCATGGAAGCAGACAGTTCAACTCAAATCCTTTTCTTTTAATGCACCTGAGGTTCTCATTCTCTTGTCAAGATTTACATTCTTCTCTATTCTTCTAAGCAGTTTTATATATTATATGCACATTATTTATCTATACACACACACACACATACACATATATAACAAATAACCTTTTTGAAAATCCAACATCACTTATAAAATTTACTAGGCATCTCTGCAAGTGTCTGTTGCTTGAGGAACTTGAGAATTATTTTGGACACAGAATCATATGGCTTGCAAATTTCTTGAGTATGGTAAACTCTGCTCTACAGTCCATGACACATGCTGATATTTGATTAAATACACCTCTTCTATGTTTTTTGTATGGATTTTAATTTAAAGGATAGGCAGCAAATACATTTAAGTAACCATATTGCTGGGTTAATTTACCAGGATTGTACTACACTCATTTTTAAAACAAAACACTAAAATGATCAGTTATGTTTAAACCAATAAATCAATGGGTTCAAATTATCAAAAACATTAAATTGATACCATAATTTAAAAAAAACAATATTACAAGGTAAACACAAAGAAATTATTTTAGTCTTATACAGGAAAAAGTTATGAATGGGTCTGTTTTGTTTAAATGGTAGCTCCTATTTAATGTTCTAGCTAAGACAGTGTGTTGAACTAGCTGGTTAAGGACATATCATGCACACTTCGTCCTGTGGATGCCTCTGTGTCTGTTCTGGTTTTATGACTTCACACAACTAAACTGACCAAGCAGGAAAAAACTACATGTCAGCCAAGTTTAGTGAAGATACTAAAATGCCATGTTAGCTTGTCATCTTTGTGTAGTTATGGTTCTCATTTCCCAGATTCACAAAGAAAAATGCACAATCTTTCTGCAGACACAGAAGTAGTGATTAAAATGTACATAACATCAGCCTCTGAATAACCTACTTTCTACCATCTAATTCAATGACAGATGAAGTGGAATAAAGCACCTGCATCTGTTCTGCACTACAGGGTTTTTCTATGATTGTGCATATCAAAACAGAGGGTTTTTAATGTGTGTATGTAGCAGTAAAAGATTTTCTTACACATCTTCTACACGAACACGTTGATAGTCTGAAAGAATGGCTCCCACAGAGACGCCTTTCACTTCTTCCTGTTCCTAAGGAAAAAGAATAATAATGTTCAAACATCAGTGCATGCACTCACCTATTCACCAGAGATCATAGGGTCATAGGCATAGGAAAGTAGGTCTGAACCCTTCCTGCCTGGTCCTACCTTGTAAGGTCCTTTAGTCCAGCCCCCTACTCAGTCAGAATCATCTGTGACTAAACCATTTCAGTCATGGATGGATACTCCAGAATATCTCTAAGTAGCCTGTTCCAATGCTTGACCACTCTCAGAGTCAGACAGTTCTGCTTAATCTCCAACCTACAATTCCTCTGCTGCAGTTTGAGGCCATTGCTCTTAGTCCTGTTTCCTATGGCCACAGAAAAAAAGTCTAATCTCTACCTTCTTTATAGTTGCCCTTCAGGTATTTGGAAAATTATCAAATCTTCTTTTTTCCAGACCAAATAATCCTAGTTCTTTCAGCCTCATCTCATACATCATGCTTCCCAGGACTATAATCATTTTTGTCACTTGTTGCTGGACTTTTACAATCTGTCCACATCTAGACACAGTACTCCAGACGAGGCCTCACTAGTGCTGAATACAAGATAAGAATCACTTTCACTAATTATAAGTGACATTTCTGTTAATAATGTCACAGGGTCTGTTCATGGGCAGCAGTACCACTGCCTGGTGGACAGTTTGGTATGCTCTAGTCCAGTTTCCCAGGTACCATCCTTTCTCTCTTTCACCTGCCATGCCTTGATGTTGTCTATTGGCTAATAAGGAAAGCTGTTCTCAGAGTCTGTAAGTAGGTTTATTGAGCCCTGGTTCAGCCTAGCTCTCTAGTACTGTTAGTATCCTCATCCTACATGTGCTAACGTGCCCTGTCTTTAGTATTGGGGGTATTGGTTGTAGCCGTGTTAGTCTATGGACATAAGCAGAAAAGCATGGAGTGCTTCCCCAAGATATGCCCACCCCCCCAGCCCTCTCCCCCTCTCCATGGCCTCCAACCAACCCTAATAGCCACTTCCAATCTTCTAGGGAAATAAAACACAATGCCATCCAGCCTGTTGCCAGCTCAAGTGCAAACCCCACCTCCTTGGTCTGCCTTCTCTCTTACAGTTCTACTGGCTGGAGCTCCTCACCCTACACCCTTCAGGGCTAGACTGCCTGATCTGGCCCTAGCACTCCTTTGGCTTTACCTCCTTCTGGCCAATTGTTTCCAGTCCTTTTAACTAAGCACAGGGTTTTCTACTCCATTAGCCAACTTGTTCTTCCACATATCCCGCCGAGTCCTAATAATTCTTAAGGTTACTGGCTAATCTGAAGTTTTGCCTGTCTGAGCTACAAAACGAGCCCCCACTCCATTCTCTTGCTCCTCATCCCTCTGGAGGTAACAGGGCTAGGGTTCCCTTTTACACTACAATCCAGTCAGTATGCTCTTGGCTTTTCTGGCAACAAGAACACATTGGTGGCTCATATTCAACTTATGATCCACTATAACCCCCACGGCACTCTCTGACATACTTTAGCCTAGCTAATTATTCCCCAGTCCGTATTTGTACAAGCAACTATTCTGCCCTTGTTTGCTCTTGTCCTTGCTCAATTTCTTCTGATTGCTTTTGGACCATTTCTCCATGTCATCCTTTTTGTAGAATATGGCCTCCATAAAGTATACCTGGCTCTTCTTTTCCCCTTGCACTTACTACGCAGGGGAACCTGCTCACTAGCTTGCTTTCTTTGTTAGTCTGCTTGTTTGAAGTTCAAGTTCTTTATTCTGCTGCTCTTCTCCCTTCCTCCCCTTAGAATCTCATACTCATCATTTTGTGGTCACTTCCTTTCAATTTCTCAATCAATTCCTCCCAGTTTGTCAGCAGAAAGTTCAAAAAAAGCTTCCAGTCCAGTTGGTTTCTCTACCACCTGGATCAAAAAGTTATTTCCAACACACTCCAAAAATTTGCTGGATGACCTATGCACTGTCGTCTTCCCAGTAGATTTTGTGGTAATAAAAGTCACCCATGAGAACCAGGTCCTGTGATCTGGAAACTTCTATCAGTTGTTTAAGGAAGGCTTCATCCACCTCTTCCTCCTGGTTTGGTGGCTTATAAAGAACATGAGAGACCCACCATGACATTCATCCCTGCTGCTCTCCCCTCTGAGGCTTTCAACAGGACTCTTTCTTGATACTGCACTTCCAACCCTCTGTTGAGGTATCTCCATCCTACAACCTCTGTTGAGATATTTTGCACCACATATAATAATTTATCTTTTTTTTAATTCTTTGCTTTCCCACACAAAAAATCCAGTCTAGAAAAATATGTTCAACAAATCATTTTTTACTCCTTAAAACAGGCCTCTGTCACCTCATGGAAAACCATGCCAGCTACAAATAAATCCTTTGAACATACACTAGTTGCCATTAAGCTGTTAGCATTTACCATTACTTATGACCCAGTGGTATGTGAGTTTATTTTATTTTCCCTATCTACAGGACAGGAGAGCTCTGCAGTAACTTAACAAATGCTGACTTTAGTAGCTTCTGCTATCAAATAATTTTACTGGACCGTTTTCACATTGGATCTTTGTTTTCACTTACTTAAGCTAATAGTCTTTTATCTTGCAAATATGACAGAGAATTTTGCATTGTAAAATGAACTTTGAAATAATTCAAGCAAAGAATTTCTTTTTATCTTGAGTTCAATCAGAACCAATTTACTAACTTACAAGAAGAAAAGTAGCATCTCTTTTCCTAAATTTCATCCAGTAAAACTGAATTGACTTTAGTTAGTTTTCTTGCTGGGGTTGATCATAATTTAAAAAACTGTTTTTTTTTAAGTTTCCCTGCTCGTAGCAATTCTGTCAAGTCCATAGCAAGACCCTTCCTCCAAAACTTCCAACCATAGCTATCTGTGTTTCTCTGTCTATGTATCTCATAAGGAAATGCCTCTTTTGCCACGGTATTGCACACAAAATTAATACTGGGGTTTTACTCAATTATTATCTCTACTACAATTTCTTTATAACTGTTTTTAGATTAGAATTCCCTAATTTACATCTGTGCTGCTCTATGTTTCCCCAACATATTATTTTATTTTTTTACACTAAATCTCATCTCCTACCAATCCAACCAAATTCCCAAGTTGTTCACATCCTTCTGTATTTTTGACCGAAATTCCCTGTCTTTGTAGAAACTCCTACCTCTATCATCTGCAATCTTATCACTGTCGAATTTATATTCTCCTACAGGTCCTTAATGAACATGATCTCAATATCAAATCTTCTGGGATTCCACTTGATGCCTCCTTATATTCTGAAATAATACTATTGATAATAATTTATTTTATGCATCTTATTTGTTAGTCAGTTCATTATCCATTGCATTTTTGTTATTTTTATCTAGAGAATACTTGTTTGCTCATAAGCTTCCTGTGCAGCACTGTATCAAAGGCCTTTTAAAATTACAAATAAATCATGTCCATTTCACTTTCCTCATTCACCCAGTCTGCTCGTAGCAGAAAAAAAGTAGAAGAAAAAATTATCAAACCACGTTATAAAATCAGAATTGTATCTAAATAGATTTCTTCTCAATATTTTCCCATGAAGCCTGTTTAGGTGCTTAACATGTGTACATCTGAGATCTTCTCCCTAATATTTCTCTGTTCTATATCTTTGATACATAAGATACCTGCATGCCATGAGCAATACTTAGAGTGTTCTTACATTCAAAACATTTTATAAAATTATATACTTACTCCCATTGCAGCTTTGTGGGGTACAGCAGGCAAATGTTATTCTGTATATTGGCACTTTTATTTAAAAAAAATACAATTCTCATGCGAACACAAACATTTCAAATGGTATAAATTAATTTGGCCTTCATGACTGTACTTCAGAGTTTGCCATGTAGCAGTGACTCTTTGGCCATAATTACTATACTTAGAACCAGATTTTTGTATACAATGTATATTATTAGAACGAGATTTTTTTGGTGGGTGTGGGGGGACTGTGTGCCCACAGGGCACACCTCCCCCACACAGCACATGACCAGACCCCCCCCACAAGGCCACAGCCCCCCTCCGCAGGACCCATAGCTCACCCCCACAACCATCGGGTGCTCAGAGCCCACTGCTGTCGGAGCCCTTCACAGTGCAGCCACCTCAGAGCCAGTGTCACCTGTGCTGCTTGACATGGGTGTGGCCCAGCTCAGCATGGAGCGGAGCTGTCCACCTTTCTACAGCTCCGGGCCACTCAGGCTGTCACCTGGGGGCTGGCGCTGCTCGCAGAGACCATGTGTTGTGCTGGGCCGGGTCCTGCATGCCATTGGGCCAAGCCGGTTCTGTAGAGGCAGGACCCAACCCAGCATGGCACACATTCCCTGCAAGTGGCACTGGCCCTCAGGTGACAGCCTAAGTGACCCAGAGCTGCAGAAAGGTGCACGGCCCTGCACAGCACCAAGGCAGATCACACCCATGACAAACAGCATAGGCAGCACCAGCTCTGAGGTGGCCAAGGCTGCACCATGCCACGGGGAGGAGGGTGGGCTCCAACAACAATGGGCCCTGAGCACCTGATGGCTGCTGCTGCTGCAGGGGGACAGGGGAATTGTGCACCCTGTGGGGGACCTACACCCCCCAACCAGTCCCCCTTCCCCCACACAACCCCCCCAATCTTCCCACATGTGCACAGTCTCCTTCCCCCCCACACCCACAATTGCTCCCCAGTCCCTACATACTCACGATAGTGCCCAGGTCCCGGTCATGTAGGATCCTTGTCCCACTTCTACTTACCCCAGCACACTACAGGTGCGTGCCCCACATGCTGGGGCAGCAGAAGCACACAGAGGCACTCTGGCCAGAAACCAGAGCATCTTTCCAGAGGACTGGCTTCCAGGTCACCTCAGGTCTGCCCCACTTTTTTACCCCATTTTTTTTTTATACCTGGATTTCCAGGTATTAAATTTTGAGCCCGCACTCCCAAATATGCAGCATGGGGAAATATTTTTCATTCGCAGCGTGTCTCTTGTAGCATCTCAAAATGGTTTGGAATGCT